AAGAAGGGTAACTAAAATGGTGAAGGGTCTGGAAACCAAGCCCTATGAAAATGACTTAGGGAACTGGGGAAGTTTAGCCTGAAGAAGAGAAGGTTAAGAGGTGATATGATAGCCATGTTTAAATATTTGAAGGGATGTCATATTTTGTTTGTTTATCGTTTTTACATTGTCTTAAATTTAATTCAGTTTTAAGGGGGGGAGGGGTTTTTTATATTGTATGTTTTTGTACTTGCATCTTTTAATTGTAAATGCCGCCCAGATTGGATTACCATAGGGCGGGGTACAAATAATATTGAGGAGGGAACAAGCTTGTTTTCTGCTGCTCCAGAGACTAGGACCCGGAAGAATGGGCACAAGCTCCAGGAAAAGAGATTCCACCTCAACATTAGGAGGAATTTCCTAATAGTAAGAGCTGCTCGACAATGGAACACACTCCCTCAGAGTGTGGTGGAGTCTCCTTCCTTGGAGGTCTTTAAGCAGAGGCTGGATGGCCATCTGTCGGGGATGCTTTGATTGGGAGTTCCTGCATGGCAGGGGTTTGGACTGGATGGCCCTTGTGGTCTCTTCCAACTCTATGATTCTATGATTCTACATAGGTGTAAAGGTAAATGTATTCCCCATTGACAAGGTTGTCAAGTCATGCCCGACTGTAGGTGGCAATGCTCATCTCCATTGCTAAGCCGAATAGCCAGCGTTGTCAGAGACTACTCTGTGATCATGTGTCCAGCATGACTACACACAACACTGTTTACTTTCCCACTGAAGTGGTACCTATTTATCTACTTACATTTGCATGCTTTTGAACTGCTAGGTTGGCAGAAGCTGGGACTAGTGATGGGAGCTCATCCCATTATGCAGCACTCGGGCCTTGAACTGCCAACCTGCTGATCTTGTAATCAACAGAGTCAGCGTCTTAACCACTTGAGCCACTACATCCCTTTGTAAGTATGCACGCATAGGTACTTGGAGCAAAGAAAAGGTAATGCTCATCAGTCATCTGGGTGACACACCACAGTAGGGTTGTGTTCTTTCAGGAATTGCAGGAACAAGACTTCATGGCTTGGTCCCCTAGTTTCACATTTGAACCAAACCTTAAGACTTCCTCATTTGAGGAGGCACCCTATTCTTCAGGAGACCTTTTCTTCCAAGGCACTCTTACTTCCAAAGAGCCTGCTTTCTTTCATCTTGTGGTCTGGTGGCTAAATGTGGTAATGTAGACTATATATACTTTTTAAATAAGTAAAATTAATAACAATAATTAAAGAATTACAATTATTTATTTTAAAATAATTAATTAGTCAAGTTTTAAACAGAAAATAACTGAAGATACACACACTGAGAATTCCCCTAATACTAACAGCAAATTTCAGATGCCTGTGTTTCATGGCCTTGGAATTAGACTAGACTACACAGATAGTCTTTTATTATTGTATATTTCCTCTAGAAAGTGGGATGGAATCATATTTGGTTTCGTATAACTATTGATTTATGTAAACTGTGTCTTTTACAGAGATGCAAGCTGCATTTCATGAGGTATACAACATTCATATGTTGGTGCGTGCATATATATATAGGCCACTGTCTTTCTTGAATCTCTGCAGTATGGTTTTCTCCACCACTATGAAATTTAGTCATTCCAAATTATTGCTTACATGCTTGGCAGTGCTGATGAGAATAGCAATGTCATTCACAGGGCAATATATATATTTTTTTGTGAAAGGCCATAAAAGTAGGAGTTGTAAAAGGACCACAACAAGATTGATTTTTTTTTAGTAGCTATAGCAGGGCCATAAAAGATGCTGATCCCAAGTAGCAGGATGAGGCCTCCTCCTTGTATAACAGAATGTTGGGGGCCAAACATGAGTGCTTTGTATGTGCCAGTACATGAAAAACATGAAATGATTTAAAGGAAACTCAAAAAGAGTAAAATTGTCTGTAAATTTGTTTTGATTTGTATATTTCAGCACAGTACTGATAATAACTCTAGTTATTATTAGAGTCAACTCTAGTTCTAACCAATGTATGTCAACAGATATGGAAAACAAAACAATGGCTAATAGATTGAAAGTGTTCAATATACATCCCCATCCACCAAAAAGGAGACAGAAGAGAATCTAGCAACTATAGGACCATAGCACTAATCTCCCATGCAAGCAAAATTATGTTCAAAATGTTGCAACATGGACTCCAACCACACATGGAGAGGGAAATCCCAGAGGTTCAGGCAGGGTTCAGAAAAGAAAGAGGCACCAGGGATCACATTGCAAATATACAATGGCTAATG